TCCTTGCATTGTGCTCAATATTTTCGTGTGGGTACATCTATTTGAAGGTTAGTATCTACCACATTTACACAATATGCTTGACAAAGACTAACATTTATGGTTTTAGGATCCTGAGATTGCACACATCAAGCACACATTTAAAGTATAAGATTGACAAATATTTGTATCTATAAATTTTTTGACCCTATGTGCACATAACAAACACACATCCTAGGTGAGTATGACAATCTGAAGAGGCGAGGAAACTTTGACATTAAATAAAAGCTTTAATCGATATTCAAGATTTGAATGAATGATACATATTAGGAAAACAAACTCAATTCCCATATCAAATGTATGTTACCAAGCTGGTAACAGTCGTCTAGCTCCAAGAGAAGAAAGGAGAGAGAGAGAGTAGGGTTAAGACGAGTTTAATTCTAATCTAAAAAATGTAAACAATTAGAGCTTCATTTTTTTTTACAAAAGTGAGAAATTATTGGAGACACATTAATTAAATTAGAGGAGAGCGTGAAAAGGCGTCTCTCGGGAAGGGTAAAAATATACAATGACCCATATCCCTTCTCTGGACCTCACCGTTTACACTCATTCACTTTATCATCATCATCTCACTCCTCAATCCTTTACATCTCTTCCTTCTTTCCAGGAAAATGATAAGGTAAGTAAGACTAAAAATACCATAAATCTTACTCTTCTCTTTCACCATCATAACTTATCATCACTATTGATAACACAAACAACTTACCACAAATTCAAAGAAAAAAGTGAAGAAGGAGCTATGATTTTAAGAGCTAGGTTAAGTTAAACACCAACTAATATATGATATTAGATACGAGTAATAAATATAATAAATAATATGAGGAATTTATTTAAATAGCAATAAAACATAATGACTTTTCTTAAATAGCACTACATGTGTTTTTCTTCTCAATATAACACTTTTAGTCATTATGCATCAGTCATTATTCAAACAAATATTTGCCATCATTGGACATTATGGACATTATTAAGTGTTATTTAGAGAATAAAACAATTTAAGTGCTATTTGAAGAAATGACTTAAGTTTTAGTATCATTTAGTGCAAATATTTCAAATAATATAGAAATATAATATACACGTAGAAACCCAATTTGTAAAACTACATATTTTTTCGAGAGTACTATATAAAGGGGTGCTTTATTGTAGATCATAGGAATATTTGTACAAGACGTGGCTCGACAGGCATTAATAGAACTTGAAGCTCTATGAAGGAGATAATGAATAGTATGTGTCTAGATGTAGATCTAATTTGGCTCTCTCCTCTCCTTTGCTCACAGTCTTTACTTGTCGTAGAATAAGAAACACCAAGGTTAGTGTTTCATTTGTTTGTGGTAATTCAAATTGCAATCTTTTGGGTCAAATGCTTGCTCACCTTATTGAGATGTGACAAGATTTGTGGAAGTCTTCGAGTTTATCTTTTGGATTATGCTATGTGTACCCCAAGATTTGTACCCCAATTTGTACCCCGCAGTTTTGCACCAACATTTTGTGTTGGTGTAAAACTAATTTTTGTTAAACGCACCAACATTTGTGTCCGTGTGAATTTTTATTAACGCACCAACACTTGTGTCGGTGTAAACCATCGAAATGTTTGTGCAAACCTGTGGTGTACAAATGGGGTATATTTGTTGGTGTAAGTGTAGCATGGTCCTTATCTTTTTCACTTTTGATGTGTTTGTAATAAAGTACTCTCTACTTTATACTCCTTCCGGTTTTGACTTTGGGGAAAAATANNNTGTGGTAATTCAAATTGCAATCTTTTGGGTCAAATGCTTGCTCACCTTATTGAGATGTGACAAGATTTGTGGAAGTCTTCGAGTTTATCTTTTGGATTATGCTATGTGTACCCCAAGATTTGTACCCCAATTTGTACCCCGCAGTTTTGCACCAACATTTTGTGTTGGTGTAAAACTAATTTTTGTTAAACGCACCAACATTTGTGTCCGTGTGAATTTTTATTAACGCACCAACACTTGTGTCGGTGTAAACCATCGAAATGTTTGTGCAAACCTGTGGTGTACAAATGGGGTATATTTGTTGGTGTAAGTGTAGCATGGTCCTTATCTTTTTCACTTTTGATGTGTTTGTAATAAAGTACTCTCTACTTTATACTCCTTCCGGTTTTGACTTTGGGGAAAAATAAGGAAAGTGTAATTTTGGTTGACTTTCCAATTTTGTCCCTGATGTGATGGGAAAAAGTAAGATGTGATAGTTTGGTTATTAGTGATAAAGTATGATGTGATAGGTATGGTATGAAAAAGTAGGGGTAAAAGTGGTTTTTTAATAGAAAGTGGAAGTATTTTGTGGAAAGCAAAAAAACGAAAGAGGAATGGTTTAGTGGAACGGAGGGAGTATTAATTTGGTTTTAAAAAAAGAAATTCTTCATGCGATGATATTTTAAATATGTCTATCAAAATCAATAGGTATAAAATATTGTACTAATTAAATCTTAAATCTAAGTGAGGAGGCACTAATTAAATCTTATATTTAGGCATCATACATATATCAGGTTGAGTACATGGAGACCAAGCTTAAGACATTAGTACTTTTAACACTAGTTAAATTCAAATAACACAAACGATACGTTTAGAGCACTGGAAATACTCTTGACGCCCCAAGGCTTCAAACTGGGGATTCAAAATTTCTCTCTCTGCCACGTCAGCTTTAACTTACCTCACAGATTCACTGGAAATGGGTTTGAAGTCCCGGGGCTTCAAACTGAGGCTTCAAACCTTCATTTTTTACATTTTAAAATATACATCTTCTAAATTTAAATCAATATATTTAAATTAATTTATTATTTAAATTAATCGCAATGAGACTAGTGCATTAAAAAAATTACATTCATTCAAAAAATTTTACATTCATAAAAAAATACATTCATAAAAAAATTACATTCAGAAAAAATACATTCATTAAAAAAATATTACATAAAAAACAACACTACAAAGAAATTACTAACTATTCGAGCGACTAAAGATATGTTCGATCGAATCCGCCGATAGTACATTGTGAATCTCTCGGCTTCGAATTTCTTGGCGATTTCTTCGTTTCTTTTCTTCGTTGATTTTTTCGTACATAGGAACCTCCTCGTCCGGGTTGTATTGACAAATCGCAGTCTCGTTGTCCTCCATGATCATATTATGAAGAATAATACATGCGTACATGATATTCCTCATTTTCATTTGAGAATAACATTTCGACGGTCGATCTAGAATGTGCCATTTACCCTTCAAGACCCAGATGCTCGTTTAATATCTTTTCTCGCCGCCTCTTGAGTTTTTTTGTAGGTCTGGCGTTTAAGACCCGTTGGTTCGGAGAGGGATTTGACAATCGTGTAATAATCTGGATATATTCCATCGGCCAAATAATATCCACGCTTGTAAAGCGTCCCTCTAAGCTCAAAAGACGAGTCGGGTGCGGTCTCATTAATCCAATCGTCAAAAACAGACGATTGATCGAGAAGTTGATGTCGTTGTTCGAGCTCGCGACACCGAAAAAAGCATGCCAAATCCACAAGTCATTTGAAGCAACAACTTCGAGCATGATAGTAGGCTTGGGATGATCTCCCCGGAAGAATTGACCGTGCCACGCAGTGGGACAATTTTTCCATTCCCAATCCGCGCAATCAATACTGCCGAGCATGCCGACAAAGTCGTGTTTAGCGGCATGCCTTGCGTGTAACTGCTGAATGTCGCTCGCTGTAGGTGTGCGAAAAATATCTTTTATGATAAATTTAAATAATAGCTTTAGAAAATTTATAAACACAGGACCTAATGCTCCGAGCCGACATCTTCAAGTATTCGTCGAACATATCAGATACCGTTTCGTATGCCAACTGACGGAGTGCGGCAGTGCACTTCTGGACACTACTAAACCCGCGTCGGCCTCTCGCATCAAAGCGTTGGGTGAACCAAGGAACCTCGCGTTCAACATCGGCGAGTATGCGTAAAAAGAGAGGACGACTCATCCAAAAACGATTACTAAAATCCTCCGGTGTATAAACACACAGAGTATTAAAGTAGTCGTTTAGAAAAGAAGCGTGGGCGGCCGCTCGATCCCGGTTTAAACGTTGTCGTCAGGAGGATTCGACTTCTTCTTCTTTAACTTCTTCCCACCATTGAATACAACTCGTGGCGAAACAACGAAAAATGAGAGCTCTTTTTTCATCGTCAGATGAAAATGATCCTATTTTTAAAATATATTTTATAAATATTTATAATAAATAATAAATATTTTAGAGAGAAGATAGTGAGAAATGCGTGAGAGAAAGATTTTTTAGGGGAATTTATAGGTTTTTTTTTAAATTTAGATTTTTTTTGGGGGGGGGGGGGTAACGGCTAT